GCGTTGAGGTCAGGGAATGTGGGAAAGAGCTTGGGAGAGCGGACAAAGAGACACTGCCAAGAGGATGGCCACTATAAGAGCCGAGGTGGCGCAGTGGTTAGGGTGCAGTACTGCAGGCCACTTCAGCTGACTGTTATCTGCAGTTCAGCAGTTCAAATCTCACCGGCTCAAGGTTGACTCAGCCTTCCGTCCTTCCGAGGTGGGTGAAATGAGGACCCAGACTGTGGGGGCGATATGCTGACTCTGTAAACCGCTTAGGGAGGGTTGAAAGCCCTATGAAGCGGTATATAAGTCTAACTGCTATTGCTATTATTTAAGAGAAAAAATTATGAGTGACACTACATTGGCATTTTCTTACTACCTGTAAGTAGAAGCCAACAAGGCACATTGGAAATTGGAAAATATCAGGTTCTTTCCTCATCTACCTATTCCTGGAGAAAATCCTCCAAGAGTTACATTCTCGAACCCTCACAGCTTCAACCTTAAACTGTCTAGCGTGGACCTCATCCCATTCCTAAGAGGTCCGTAAAGGGGGCGTGAATAAGCCCACCAACGTGCCTACTGTCCCTGTCCTATTGTCCCCATTTATTCGTACTCATTTCCTTTGTTCATGTCCATGTTTATACTTATGCCTGTTATCTTGTACACACTTAAAAAAATAAAATAAAAGATGAAGATCAACAAAACTATCTTCAAAGTCTGAGCCTTATCCATTCACTGGTCGTTCCTCAACCTCTCTATCAATCATTCTTTCCCAATCTGATGTTCTCCAGATGTGTTCAACTCCCATCATTCTTAGCCAGTCGTGATGGATGGGAATTAAATTCCAACACAGCTGGAGAAGGCTGGGAAAGTCTATTTTTTGGAAACTTTGCACTGACCTGAAACAAAACGAAAAACATTTTTTTGAATAAAAGATCAAATTATTATTATTATTTTATTTATTAACAAAAGATAGAATGGAGTTTCTCTTCATTCTATCGCTTTACTCACTTCGACAGCATAATGCAGTGCTGAGATGGCTGGGTGCACAGAGAGATTCTCCAAGGGCTTAATCTGAGGAACTTCCCATCCAGATGTGAAGGACCATTCAATGAAGAGCATGTTGTCTGTGAAAACTGTTCCAAATACTAAGCCATTTGGGTCCGGCTTCTCCTTCAATGTTGTAGACGGATTGATAACAAGATCATCAGCCTGGGGCGAGAAAAGGGGAACAAAACAAGACAAAATTACATTTTTTTAAAAAATTGCCAGCCCTTATCTCAGGATAACAGAGTTAGAAAGAACCTTGGAGGTCTTCTAGTCCAACCTCCTGCTCAAGTAGGAGATCCTGTACGATTTCAGACCAATGGCAATGCAATATCTTCTTAAAAACCTTAAAAATCTGATGGAGCGCCCATAATTCCTGAAGGAAAATTGTTCCACCTGTTAATTGTTCTGTCAAAAAAAATTCTCCTTATTTCTACATTGGTTCTCTCCTGGATTAGTCTCTATCCATTGCTTTCTGACAAACATGCTTTGGAGAATAGACGGACCTGCTCTTCTTTGTAGCAGCCCCCCAAACAGAGGTGGTATTCAGCCAGTTCTGACTGGTTCTGGCGAACTGGTAGCAGAAATTTTGAGTAGTTCGGAGAACCTGCAAATACCACTTCTGGCTGGCTCTGCCCCCATCTATTCACTGCTCCCGAGTCCCAGCTGATCGACTGGGTCTTCTTCTGTTGCCCTGCACAGGAGAACGGAACTGGAAAGCAGATTAGTGGGGTGGGGAGGAAATGGGGATTTTCAAGATCCTTCCCCCAGGAGTGGAGAAGGAGTCGTGATTTGGCAGTATTCTTCCCCAGGAGTGGGGAGGGAATGGGGATTTTGCAGTATCCTTCCCGGGGGTGGGGAGGGAATGGGGATTTTGCAGTATCCTTCCCCAGGAGTGGGGAGGGAATGGAGATTTTCAGGATCCTTCCCCAGGAGTGGGGAGGGAATGGAGATTTTCAGGATCCTTCCCCCCAGGAGTGGAGAGGGAATGTGGATTTTGCAGTATCCTTTCCCCAGGAGTGGGGAGGGAATGGGGATTTTGCAGTATCCTTCCCGGGGGTGGGGAGGGAATGGGGATTTTGCAGGATCCTTCCCCAGGAGTGGGGAGGGAATGGAGATTTTCAGGATCCTTCCCTCCAGGAGTGGAGAGGGAATGTGGATTTTGCAGTATCCTTTCCCCAGGAGTGGGGAGGGAATGGGGATTTTCAGGATTCTTCCCTCAGGAGTGGAGAGGGAATGTGGATTTTGCAGTATCCTTTCCCCAGGAGTGGGGAGGGAATGGGGATTTTCAGAATCCTTCCCTTGGGAGTGGGGAGGGAATGGGGATTTTCAGGATCCTTCCCCCAGGAGTGGGGAGGGAATGAGGATTTTC